TATCTATCTACTTATCTATCTGTCTATCTATCTATCTATCTATCTATCTATCTATCTATCTATCTATCTATCTATCTATCTATCTATCTATCATTCATCTAACCAGCTTGCTAGCTAGGATCTATCTGTCAGTAATCTATCTTATCTATCTGTCTGTCTAACATCTGTCTATTTTCATGGTAGAAACTGAAGGTAGGGCTAGACAAGCACTCTACCACTGAGCTATACTCCTAGCCCTTTTGTTTCTTTTTTATTTTGAGACAGTTGCTCACTAAGTTGTTTATGTGGTCCCCGAATTTACTCTATAACTCAGACAGGCCTGAACTTGTGAATCTCCTGCATCTGTTTCCCAAATAGCTGGAATTATAGGTCTGTGCCACCAGTCCTGCTTTATATATTTTTAATTTTTTTAAAATTCTCAGTTCTTGAGATCAAATCCAGTGTTTCTAAATGCTAGCTGCCATTCTACTACTGAGCTTCACCTGGGTCTTCATTTAAATCCAGTGTTACAGCAAGCATCCTCATCTGCTTTTCCAGGGGGTAGAGGGTTACCATCTTATTCTTGATTGCAGAAGGTAGAAGTCCAAGTTCCTTCCTTGGTCTCCTTTGACATTTCAGGAAGGGCATGTTAGTGTTTGCTGAGGGTGAGAGCATGCTCAGGTTCCTCCAGTGGTCTATACTGATACTGTGGCCTCATCATAGCCAAATAGTGGTGATGGCTCAGGCCTTTCACTGTGACGGTGCCCCAGTGGGGAGGGAGTGGCATGTCTTATTACCACCTGGTAAAGCTCTAAATCCAGGCTCTCACATGGTCTTTACTGACACTTTCCATTTGAGGATGGGGTACTTGACTTTGTGGAGATGAATCTCCTGTGTTAGCAATTGGTCTTTTTTGGTATCATCTCAGTTGAAAACCTGGACAGTTGAGGGGAACAGAAGTCTAAATTCCCCACCGATGTGCTAGTGGAAAGGCGCTATAGTGCTCTCTGTGCTGTCTGAAATCTGTGTGTCCAACTAGGTTATCTGTTTTCTGGCTGTGTGGCTTGAGACAACACTTTTACAGGGACAGAGGCTTTCAAGAGTGTGATCATTGGTGCTTATGGTATGCCAAGGTGGAGGGGGATCTCACAATCCCAGATTAATAGGCATGGGCAGTTAATGGCTGCTGAGAAAGGGAGAATCACTCTTCTCCAGGGGTGAGCCCCCGTAGTTTATCCAGTCCTAAGTGGCCAGCCTTAAATACATAGACATATATGAGTAACACTAAATGAACTCAGCAGGCTGTATTTACAAATGTGTGTATCAATAATAATTAAAGAAAATGAGGCCATAAAATTGAAAAAGATTCAGGAATATGGGAGGAATTAGAGGGACAAGGGGGGAAATGATATAAATATAGCACTTACATATGAAATTCTCA